ACAGTCATGAGGAGAAGGTTGCCACATGTTCCTTGCCAAGCCTCTGCCACACTTCAGGTCCAGTTACTTCTCCTCAGCACCTACTGGGAATGGCACCAAATTGCTTCCTGCAACCTAGCATCCTACCAGTGCTACCAAGCTGGCACCCTCGTAGTGTTCAAACTAGTCAGTGCTAGAGGAACAGAAATATGTAAACATACCACCAGCAGGTTATAGATTCATTATTTTTTTTTAATATCAAATGTCCACATTTTAATCTTGGGCAAATTAGCTGAACTCCTAAACACTCTTGTAGGGACTGCAAGTGGGTGGAAAGGAAGAATGTTTGGAAACGGATGAGATAAAACAGTGGGAAGAGGTTTTCACAGAAGAGGCAATTCCGAGCTAATCCCAGGTTCTGCTGCATGGCAGTGTCTCTGAATGCCCTCTCATTTACTGATGAAGAGCAATTGACTCTTGAACGTTACCATTTACGCAGTTTCTGAATTGTACTATTTATAATGTGTTTTAAACATTTTTTTTCCAAATGGAAAGGAGCAATTGTAAACTAGTTAATAGGCCTGACTGTCATTTTTATTCAGCCTTATGTGTAAAGCTGTTTTAAAGTAGCTTTAAGGAAAATGAGAATCAACCCTCTTGAACTTATGCTGTATTATACACTGAAGGACTAGCACTAAACTTGTATTCCCTTCTTCAGTTCATGGAATATAAATCAGAGAATATTAAAATTTTAAGAAATAATTCTGAATGTGCTCTCTTTAACACTGGGAAAATCCATTATTCCAGTGATAGAGAGTAACAGTACAAAACTTGTGTACTCCTATCAGGTACTGCCAGTTTTACCATCAATTCCTGACTTACCAGCAGCTCTCTATACCACAGAATTACAAAATGGTAGGGGTTGGGAGGGACCTTTGGAGATCATCTAGTCCAACCCCCCTGCCAAAGCAGGTTCACCTACAGCAGGTTAGACAGGAATGCATCCAGGTGGGTTTTGAATATCTCCAGAGAAGGAGACTCCACAACCTCTCTGGGCAGCCTGTGCCAGTGCTCTGACACCCTCAAAGTAAAGAGGGTATCAGTTGGACTTTCTTCATAGCCTCATATTCCAGGATTTTCCTGGCCTGAAACTTCCTAATTTGATGTTGACCATACAAAACAATCTCTTCTCTGGCAGATCAAAACTCCCTGTGCCCAGCAGAGTAGACACATATATATTACTTGCTTCCTAACCCAGGACTCCTACAGTTTCACTTTTTGGCCTCACTTAAGAAGCATTAAAATTAGAAAAGGATGCAAGTCCAAAGATTTGAGGCTCTGAGAGGTTGCACTGACATCTGGGTGTTTGATGTTTGTTTGGGGTTTTTTGCTGCGGGTTTTTTTTTGGCTTTTTTTGAACCTTATCCAAAGTACTTGACTGTGATGGAATTAGAGACAATGCCAAATTGCTGGCCTACCACTTGTTTTTTTTTTCTCCCTATGACTTATCCTTCTGATTGGTAATTGCTCTTGTTTGAGTAGATTTGGTTGAGTGCAGCTTTTGTCTAGATGTTTTAAAGCCCTCTCAGAATAAGGGCACAAAGACAGAGTGGAAGAAGAAGAAATTAAGAGGAGAAATTCCTAGGGGCAGAGAAATTGAGCTAAAATCCTGCTCTCACACTCAGAACTTTTACAGATGCTTTTTAATGTCTGCACATGTATCCAGAAGAATAAAATATCTATCAGAGGGTTACCTTTGCCAGTATTTCTCAATAAATCACTAGAAGCTTTGGATATGCAAGAAACACTTGACGTTTTTTCCACTTTTTTAAACATCACATTATAAGCAGAAAGGAATAGTTTACTGCTGGTTTCAACATAGCTTCATGCTATCCAGGAAATAAGGTGGCAGAAAGAACTTTTAGATAAATGCAGTAATTTTGTTAAGAAACAACAACTGAAACACTTTCATTGTATTCAGGTAACACTTAATTTGCAGTTCAAAGACACTTGCCTTTCAGCATCTCTGCTTTGATTCCTGTCAGATGCAGAGGCAGTGACATATGACATGACATTCATCAGCTAACTCTCAACATAAAGATATGTGATGTTTTTTCTCTAATTGATGGGATGGGAAAGCAAAGTTTTTTTTTTAAATGAGCTTGAGAAACAATTTTAAATGGCTGTCAAATATCCAGCAGTGGTAGCAGACAACTGGATGGAATATTTTCAAATTCAGTTTTTGCCTGTTGCCAATGTTTTTCTTTTGAAAGTATTTTACTTTCTGACATTTCAGATGTTACTTATAGGAATATTTTTCCCCTGTTTTTAAGGTATCTGCTGCTCAAATTTGCCTGCTGACTTCACTATGCCATTCTGACAGCTTTCTTTGGGACCAGTCAGCTCTTCTGCAGTGTATTCCAGTTGAGAGGTTTCAAAGTAGTTTTATTTTATTTTTGATCTTCCTGTGACTATCAAGTATTATGCCAAGTTTTGTTTTTTTTTCTAGTTGGCTACTCTAGTGTTTCTTTTTCTTTATTCTCCACCGACTCCCATCACATTTTTATTTTACAGGTAGATATTGTTTTGTGTACTCTTCTTTGTATATTATTTTTCTTAGCCTCTGCTTCTACAATTAGCACGATTCTGCCTTTTTATTTTAGAAATCCAGCTAGAATAACTTGGGGCAAAACGTGTGGAGCAGAGCGACTTGTGAGTATGAACTACTCACAGCAGAAATCCAAGGTCTGTGCTCTAGCTGAGAGTTCAGGAGAGCAGGGGTGGCTGGTCCTACTTCACCCCGAGTACCTCGATGTGGCTTTGATGACTGCGGCAGGTTATTTCCACACATCCAAAACCTGTCCCTGCAGATTTTACACGGGCTGTGGGCAGCACTTCAAGGTGTGCAAAAAGAGAAACTGAAAAGCCAGTAGAAATAGTCACTGCTATGAGTTTAAAATCAGGCTGTGAAAATAACTATACAGGTTAATAATGATCCTACATCCCTGTTTCTTTGTCTGTATCAGTGGTTCAAGGTTATCAACATAACCCAGGCCTGTCTTCTGGGTTTGTTCCTGAGACAGCACTTACTCTCTCTTCCCTTGTTACCAGTCTGATAGCTTGGAAGTGTGACAGCCTCCATTTCTGTCCCAGTGCAGTGTATGAAAAGCAAACATCTGCAGCAAGAAGCACATTGGAGGCCTTGGTGGAAGAGGAAGTATGTACTTTAGAAAAGCAAATGTTGAAAGGGGCCATAGCTGCTGCTTTGCACACAGTGACTCAGCTGTCTGGGCATGGATTTGCCAACATTAGTGCAGTTTAACTCAGTGTTTCCATGAAACCTATGAACTGACAGTCATACTTCGAGGTCTGGTACTGCCATGTAAAAACTTCCATCAACTTTAGTGAACCTCTTGCTATGGAAAGGGATGAACAAAGCCAGCACATTTGATTTATTATCTGTGCTATACTGCTAAGTACAAGCAAGACACTTGCAAGCACTGTATGAACACCCTGTCAGGGAAGGTCCCTGGCCCCAAGGAGCTTTGGGAGTACATGGGAGAGGGGGTCAGGCAGGAGGAGAATGGGAGAAGCCAGAGGTAACGTGACCAACAGAAAGATAATTCATATGTCCCCAGTTCAAGGCTGTCCCTCTCTAACTCCCTTGCAGAGCTAACAGCCTCTTGTAAGTTACATATCCTTCATGCGCAAAAATGCAACTCTGCTTTCTGTTGCTTCATAACATGGTGTACGGTCTATGTGAACAGAAGAAGAAACTAATCTAAAAAGTTTGTAGATTCAATGAAATATCTTGGGAAAATGTTCATTCTATTTCATACAAGAACTAACTTTGTGGTCTCTGACCTGCAATTGTTTGCTATCAATATTTTCCTAGAAAACTTTTAAATAGACATAAGATTGAATGTTCTGCAAACAGTAAATAACAGTGATTTCTTTTTCAGAGGTTGAGTCTGGAAATCAAGCTTTAAAACACATGATAATGCAGTTGGAGACCAAAGACATACCATAGGTGTGCACACAAAACTAATGTGACTTATGGTTTGATATCAGAATTACCTGAACAGCACAGAAAATAACTCAATCTCAGTGAATTTCAAGATACTTAACAGAAAACTTAGAAAACAGAAAGAAGGGGTGTCAAGAATATTTAGTCTTTTATTGCCTATTCCTGATGCACATGTGGAGTCTTGTTTGGACATGCACCCATTTCTTCTCTAAACTGAAATACTCGCCACCTTTGTACAACACAATAAACAAAGACGATTTTCATCCACCTAACTGCCAGATATGACACCCTATGAGCAAATGATCTGCATATCATCAAACCCTGTACTGAATGGTTTTCCTTTAAAGACACCATTTCCAATTTATCTCAAAGTCCAGTTTAGCTCTGAGTAACTCTCTTACGCAGTAGCACCAAATTGTATCAACACTATAGGATTATGAAGTGGGATCACTTACCCTGTCAACTTTAGCTTCACATTTATCCTTCCAACAGAGCAGGTGCTACATTTTATTAGTTACAGAGATTCATTGTGCATCCAGAAACTGCCCTCTGCACCCTGCTTTTATAATAGGATTCAATACAACTGAGCAAATACAACCTCTGCAATATATATGACACACAGGAAGATAATAGGAACAGGATAAACTCTCTGATTAGGTATAGTGTGCACAGGGAATCAGAAATACAGAGACGCTTTGCAAGATGGGGAAAAAGGAGGAGGGAAAATGTGTTTAAGGTCTGCCATGAAGGCCTAGGAAACCCTGCTTAAAGGATTTCTGTCCTAACAGACTCTGTAATCCCTACCAAAGGCCTGAACGCAATTACAACTTCAGTGTATTTCCATGCTGGACTTTAGTTAAATTCGTAACATTGCAGTCAAACGGGGGAAAAAAACCCAGAACAAATCCAACATACTAGTTTTTAGTAACTTCTGAATAACGAATTGACGACAATTCCCCAGCCCAAACAGCTTAATCCATTTGTTTCTACTTACCTCCATTTGTCTCTTGGATATTTTAAGCAAAGGCTCATTTTGTCCTGCAGACTCCGTGCTGCTGCTCGGTATTATCTTGCCTGATCGTAAAAAGGCTCCTGACCAAAAGGAACAGGAAAGCAATACGTAAAACAAACACAGAAGCCCAGGAGGAAAGCTACACCCTAAAGACCAGCACTAATAGCAACTGCGAGAGACAGGGCAAGAGAGAACACTCCCAGTTACTAACTTTTTCCATTGATACATCTGTTACAAAACAATTTTGCTGCAAACTTCTCTTCCTCCTCGCAAGCAATGCTTTGCTGTATGTGTAGACCTCAGATAAACTACGTGATGAGTGTGGGGTTAGTGGCTGGTTTTTTTGGACCAAGTGAGCAAATTAGTGAAACATAAACTAGAAGCTCAGCTGACTGCTTTAAGAGTAATGTGCTAGGCAGTAATTATCACAAGGTGCATTTGTCCATACTTCAGATTATTAATTTTTTTTTTAATTCAGAAGTTTTCAGTGGAAGCAGAGTCATATTTGAAATAACCACCTATGGGACTTTCTGGCCAGAAAGGCTTAGCGCAGCGGAGGTAAATGTTTAGATGATTAATAACTTAATTTTTTAAGAGCTTGATGGGCTGACAGGGAAAATATGCCAAACTGTCCTTGCCTCAGAGGGATTTTTAGTGCCAAAAAAAAAACTGCATTGAGAAGGAGAGCTCATGATTTCACCTCCAAAGACTTTAAGGCTCGAGGGACGTGCGGAGGGGCAGCGTGGGATTTACTGCAGCAGCAGGAGCTGCTGGGCCCAGCTGTGCTTTCACACCCCTGCCTCGGCGGATTTGAGCTGCTCCAAGCTCCAGGGCTGTTCCTCGGTGTGGGTCACAGGGTAGCTATGCGTGTGTGCCCACAAAAGCTGTATGGAAACTTTTGTCACTGACATTTAATATGTGGCTTGGAACAAATAACAAACAATTTGGTTTGAATTAAAAAGTTTTGACAGTTACGTTTTGCCAAATGTTAGTCAGAAAGGAAAACCGATGGACGTGTCATGTTTGAAAATTCCCAGGGTGTAATAAACTCATTTGTTTTCAAAAAGTTAGGATCAGATTCTCCCCCTGCCTCAGAATAAATCTGGAACTACTTCAGGAAGGCTGACAGAAATTAAGGTCGTTCCATCCGCCAGGGTAAATGAAATCTGCCTTGCGCTTGTAGCCAGAAAATGCTGTATCCAGCAGCAGAGGTGTGAAAGAACTGCTCCAGGCAGTAAGGCTGACAGTGGTCCTATTAAAGGCAATATTATTCCCCCTGATCTTAACCCTCCCTGTGACATCTTGCTATTGCAGCTTTCCATCTCCACGTGCTGAGGCGATGTGCTGATGGGCTTTTTAAAAGTTATGTAAGCAGACACACAGATCATGTACAAAGGTGCCACGTCAGCTCATAGAAGAAAGAAGTCTTCTAGTTTCTGCCTGGGCTATTCAAAGAGGCCTAAAGGCATTTGGTCCCCAAATCCCCCTGGACCCAATGGGGCAGGCAGGACCGTATCCTTGGTGCTCCTTGAAAATTGCAGTCAGCATCTCCTCCAAGTCTTGTTTTCTTAAGTTTTCCTATGTGTGCTCCTCACAGCTAGTAGCAAACCAGAAAGCCTTTCCATCCAGACTGCCAAACAACAGTCATTCAGTAAATGATGGCCTTGGGACACAAGCCCAGGAGAGGCAGAAGTGTCCCCAGCCCATCCCCAGCCCTGACTTACCCGTCTCCTTTCAGCTGAAAGCTGCTCACTGGGCAGAAGTAACCCCCTCTCCCAGGCAGAAGACAAAGTTAGACGCGCATCTCCCCTCTAATGCAGTGGGGCCCCATGCAAATCCTAGAGCAGAACCTGGCCAAGGTTTTAAGACTAAGGTCTTAAAACACTCTACAAAGGGTGAGAACTGGTTTCACAAGGACAGGACAATTGAGTTACACAGCTGAAATCCTTGTGTATAAAATCAGACCTTTACAAAGAACACAGGAGCGACCCCTTTCCCTTTTTTTTTTTTAAATAGTCTTTTTGGATTATTCCTTTATGAGTGCTCCTTTTGGTCTGGCACAACGTGGAGTTACATGGCAGCTTGCTTTTTCCCCCCTTTAACACTTTCTCTCAGAAAATGCATCCAGCAATGCTGCCTTTGTGGCTGGTTAAAAGCTTCACACACCAACTCTGAATAATTGAGCCAGGTTAATGGTAGAACATAATTTACGTGCCTCCCAATTACTTTTAATGAGCCTGGTTGGTACAGGTGTTTGGAGTAATTGCCAGCTATGGATTTGTTTGGTTTTGTACTTTCTCACTGTTCATAGAACTGGTTATCTTATGAAGGAAAATCAGTGGAGTAGTTCCAGCACAATTATATTTAAGCTACTGGCTTGCAATGGGCCTTTATATAGCTTGGAGCAGAATATTTTCTTTCTCATTATTAATGCGGCATTGTCGACAGCATACGTAACTTTATCAGGATTACTAAACCCTCCTATACATGCAAGCAAGGACATGGTATATAGTCAATCCAGAGGCTAGTTACAATAAAAAATAGTGAAATTCTCCTGTTCCCCCCTCTCTGTATATTAATTTTATTAATACTTGAGCATAACATATATTTAGCTGTTGTAATTAACTACAATTAATTATATAATTACACCTTATTCTGTACATACCCTCTTTTGCATTGCTGCTTGCCTGCACATATGGTGAGCTGGCTCAGGGAGTTCAAGAGGCAGTAAAGTAACTCCACAGATGGTGAACTGTTTTCTGCCCGTTTAACTCCCTGAATCAGGTCTCTGAGAAGGTAGATGGCAACAGTGCTGGCACAAGACAAGTGGCAGGAATGGGTGGCTCAGGACATTGTGTGTGGGGAAAGGAGGTGTTAGGAGCCAGGTTATCTCATGTGATTGTAAGATTCTCTAACTGTGTTAGAATGGTTTAATCTGAAAGGTTTTCGGGGATTAACAGGGGCTGGAAATTGACAGCAATGGAAGTTTAACTGTTCTTGAGTATTTGTACCTAGTCTATGCGAGGCAAAGACTACATCTTTCACTGAAAACAGCCTGAACTGTTAACTTCACACCATCTCGGACAAACCACTGGAAGAAAGAGACAGGCCCTGCAGAGAGCTGATTGTCAGGGCAATGGATTTGCTCTCCTGGGAATGCCCTGGCAGCGGGGGCGCAAGACTTGACTGCTTAAGAGAGCAGTGCAGTGAGTGCAGGTGGATGTGCACATTGCCATGAAGCCAAAAGAGAACAGGTTACTCCATCGCTGCGTGAAGATGCTGTCATTGCAGTTGAACACTGAGGTGAACTAGAAGGATTCCTAGCTGGAGACTGACTCAGCAGTGTAGTTGTAGGGCACCCAACCCCTGGCCCAGCTGCCGATTCCATACTGCCCCCAAACAGCAGCAGCCCTGGTGGAAAGCTGGTCACAGCTGGGAGGGTGCTCAGAAGGATCAGGGCAATGAAAGTCCCTACTCTCCAGTCTGCAGATGCTGCTAGCGTACTAGCAATATGAGCGTATTTTTACGGCTGCTGGCCTTACTGCAGGGCAGTCCAGTGCAGCTACGGACAGCTCTAGACTCCAGTCAGGCTTTAATTTTCAAGACAAGGCCATTACTGATTTGCTGCGCTCGCCTTGCTGACATGTTTTGCTGATCAACTTATTCACTGAGTGTGGCCCTTTGCACACCAGGGAGCTGTTACAGTGGGAAACAGATTCCTCTGTGAAGCTTTAAATAAGATTTGTTTTCTCTTTTTTTTTTTGTTCATTTGGAAGAAGCTCTGTGCTGACATGTCAACATGTTTTTCTTCCATCTGTATGTGTTTATCCTTGAATTAGAGCATCTCAGAAGCTGGAGATGGGGAAAATCATTTTAGTCCATCTAATCTATCCAAGAGGTCAAATTCAAGATGGGCCACTATTATATATTCTCCAGAGTTAATGTTCCAGTTGATGTGTCACTTCTAATACATTGCACAGAATAATTCTTTAGCTCAATAGATCTCTTTCTCTTCGAAGGAGGTTCGTGATGGCCTTTGTCTCACAACCGTCCTGGCAACCATGCTGCCATTGCGCCACCCGCATTCATCTGTGCAGTATTGACACTTTCCCTTTCAAAGTCAGCTTTCAATGCATGCTGACCAAACCCAGTCAAATCCTTTGCTCTACTGTTGTTCATGCTTCCTACTGACAGACCCTGTAATTGCATCTTTTTCTTCACCTTTTAATTGAAACACAGCTTTGCAGCTGAAAATGTTACAGGCTTGGCTGTTCAATATGACTCTGTGATCGCCATCCTTGCCTCTGTGGAGCATCAGTGGCTTGGAGACTACAGTTTGATGACTATCGCAGTTCCCGTGCCCTGCTTCTGCCAGGGTGAAAGCATTAACTCAAGTACTTTCCTCTCTGAATGAGCATTGGAAGGTGTTTCCACAATGGTGGCATTTCACAGCTACGTCTCATATCACTGCTCCTTGTGGTGCGGGGAGATGTGCAGACATGGAGACAGGACTCCCAGTTCTTAGCATTAGGCAATTCACCCTTAACAGGCATTCAAAGGAGCCCAATAGGGCAGAGTTGAGGATTTGTACAACTTTGGCCTTAAGTGATTTGCTCAGAGTCATCAGTGAACAAGTCTGTGACTGTGTTGTGGTTTAACCCCAGCTGGCAACCAAGCACCACACAGCTGCTCGCTCGCTCTCCCCGAGTGGGATGGGGGAGAGAATCAGAAGAGTAAAAGTGAGAAAATTCCTGGGTTGAGATAAAGACAGTTTAATAAGTAAAGCAAAAGCCACATGCAAGCAAAGCAAAACAAGGAATTCATTCACTGCTTCCCACGGGCAGGCAGGTGTCAGCCATCCCCAGGAGAGCAGGGCTCCATCACGCATAATGGTTGCTTGGGAAGGCAAATGCCATCATTACAAATGTTCCTCCTTTCCTTCTTCTTCCCCCAGCTTCATATGCTGAGCATGACATCACATGGTATGGAATATCCCTTTGGTCAGTTGGGGTCAGCTGTCCCGGCTGTGTCCTCCTCCCAGCTCCTTGTGCACCCCCAGCCTACTCGCTG